GCTCTTAGGCACGTGGGCACGCCGGCTCCGGCCTGTGTTCGCGCGGCTGCACGGACATAACCGACAAGGTCGTCGTCTAATGTGCACTCTGTTTCCGGCGTGGTCACCGTCCCACATGCTCGACGGTGTCCCTGTCCGACTTTTCTTTCGTCGCCATCGGCTCGTGCGCTTGAATCAACTCGCCATATTGGTGGCCGGGTCGTCGTTAGCCGCGTCTCACTAGGCTTATCTCGCCCCAATGTGTCCGACGCGAGCCGTGCCCGGTCTGTCTGGCTGGTCTCGAGTGTGGTATGGCGAACGTGGCTTGGTTTGTTGCGCCTGACGCGTGGTGACCCGTGTGTGACAAGACCTGCGTCTCACCCGGCGCCTGGCGTGACCTTCGTGTGATTTGGGTCTCACCCGGCGTCTGGCGTGACCTTCGTGTGACCTGCGTCTCACCCGGCGTCTGGTGTGACCTTGTGACCTGGGTTTCACCCGGCGTCTGGCGTGACCCTTGGGTGACCTACGTCGCACCCGACGTCTGGCGTGACCTGCGTGTGACCCGGCCGGCGCTCGCCGCAGACTCGTCCGAGAGCTCCGACAGCTCGGAGGAGGAGCGGCGCCGACGCAAGCGCAAGAAGAAGAAGGCCAAGTCCTCCGAGTCCGACAGGCGGAGGAAGCGACGCAAGACCAAGAGCCGCCGCGAGTCGTCCCCCGTCGCCTCCTCCTCGGCGCGGAGGCGGTAGTGTCGGCCTCGAGGGCGGTCTGTTCACAGTTGAGGGCGGTAGACACTTCAGGGGGGGGGGGGGGGGAGGAGGCTGTCGGGTTGGGCACTCCATGTCATCGCTTGGGACCAAGCCACAATTTCGCCGCATGCTGGTCCATAAGGTAGCGGGGTTGCACGTCGACTGCGTTGGTTCATGCCGGCGTCGCACATGGGACGATGATGTGCTGTTCATGCGAGACGAAGGCGGTTCAAGCACGGCTCATGTTGGCTTCTGGTGCGCTGCGAGTGGACGGTGTCGAAGGCTTGCCAGACAGACTGCTGGGAACGGCGATGCCTCCCCCTTATGAAGGTGACATCGGAGAAGTTAACGGTGGGCTGTTTCGTCGGCTCTAAGGACGCTCATGCTTGAAATCGTTATGCATTGTTCATCACTAAAAGCTTCATCCAATAAAGCAGCAGATGTCATAGTTGTATTTTCTATTATTATGATATATTGACACCAGGCGTGTGACTGTTCGCGATCCCGTCAACAGCGAACATGTGACGTCATGAGGCCGGACGAGTCCCTTCGTTCTGTCTGCGTCGAGCTGGCGAAGGCCGCAGAGGTGGCCGTTGAGTGACGCCTGATCTTATTGCTAGCAGATTCGTATGCAGCGGCAAGAACAGTCCCAAGTCGTGTTTCCAATGGTACCCAGTCTTTACTGCGTCTGTGGTCAAATGAGATTTATTGTATTAGAGTGATAAGCATCATTTCCGACCTCGGTCAACCAGTCAATGTTGAGCCTGGAGACCACATCAAATGTGTGCAGAAATGACTGCGATGCGGGGTCGGGACTGCGGCGTCTCAGGAGCGGCGTGGCCGCTGATCTTGGCCAGCCCGCTGTTGACTCGGGATCTCATTGGCTGTCGATTGCCGCCGGTGTGTAAATCACGTCCATGCCAACAGTTCCGGAGCTCGTAAGAGCGTTCCAGGTCTCCGGGGCCGCGCTTGTCAGATCATTTGTCAGCTGGCCGGCTTGGACGGCGTAGAAGACGCGAGGGAAGGCTCGTGTCTGCGCGGGATGTGCTTTAGGCAGGCTACAACAGCAGCTGATGCCACCGTTGCGATGCCACGTTTACCTGCCGTTTGATTTATCCTCTCATCGGCATCGCAAGAGGCGAGAATCAAACGCCGTAGGCACCGCGGATCAGGACCAACGAATCCTTCACTCGGAACGTCCACGACCCAAGTCTGCCCTCTGGTGTCCACCAATCCGTTTTATAGCTGATGCCAGGAGCGTTCCTGGGCCCAGGCGTCACACCTGGACAAGGGCGGGACGCCACCTGCCACCAGCGGTCACACCTGGACACGGGCGGGACGCCACCTGCCACTAGTCAACACACCTGGATGCGTTCTGCGACAGTGCCAGTCGTCACCTTCCCATCACGCATCATCACGCCACCACGTGACCCGAGGCTGATGGCCTGCCCCGTCCTGTACTCGCTGTGACAGTGTCGCCTCGAGCCCCAGGGGTCACGTAGGGTGGGCATGGAACACGCTTGCTCTGGCTTCTGCCTGCAGCGCCGTCTGCCACGAAGTTTTCTAATCTGGAAGGGCCCGGAACAGCGACTGGCGGCGTGAAGGCAGCAGTATTTGTCTGATACTTTTTTGTTGATGATGCTGTTGCTGCAGGTTCTGTCCTACACCCTAACAGTCTTGTACGAACCATCACATGGTCCGCACCTGCTTGGCATGGACCATGGGCCACCTGCGATTATGACCTCAAACACCAAACATACGCTTATGTCTGCCATGGTCCATAGACACGACGCCCCTTCACTGTGCAGTCCGCCCTGTGTTCGAAGCCTCCCCGTGGTTTGAAGCTGCAGGCTCGTGTCGTGACACGGTCAATGGGACCGCCCTGACCCATCGACCTGCAGACGGTCGTGGGGGAACCAGTACCAGAACGCATTAAGTCTATTCCGTGCAGCTGTGCTGCAAAATGCAACCGCATTGATCGCGCAAACCCAGGGTCGCACTCAGGCACAAATTACGGTGTGGTTAAGCGTGCATGATAGGCCCATTAAGCTCCCAGTCTCCAGAAACCCATTGAAATCAAGAAAAAAACGTTCAAACCATTTGATTGTGTTGCCTAAGCTACACTTCTCAATTTCGGGTCTATTTAGTTGAAACACTACAAATAGGCGAATTATGCCAATAGGAGAAAATGATACCAATCGTTGGAGCTCCAACAAGCCACTGTTTGGCATACTTCTTCGTGATTTTAACATTGCGCAGCTATGTCTACATCTGCCTTCATACTTAGTCAACGTCATGTCACGATCGCCCGAACCAGCAATTCGGTAACAAACTGAAATCATTTGTGCGTCACCTTCAAGCGAAATGCGTCGGAAACGCCGTATCCTCTTTCTTACGTGCCCCATGCGCCGAGGCTTTGGCCCGCATTTCTCACGCCCGATCCTGCCTTTTCCACTAAACGTCGCTCGTCTCAGCGCCGACAGGTTGAACGCGACGTCCTGCGCACAACTTAAACCCGTGGCTTGCGCCGAGCGTCTGGCGCCCGAGGCCTCCACCCGCCACCCCCGCCCGGCCACGGCCAGTCTCGTGTTTCCTTGTGACGGCGCGTGGAGCTGGTGCCACTTGACGCTCTGGTCTGAGCCGGCGTCCGGCGACTAATTTTATCCCGCTGCAGGGGCGGATCCAGCCGTCAAAAACGCGGCCGCCGGGGTCCACGGAAACTGCGCGCATGCGTACGACTTTCAGAACTGGGAATTGATCCAGGTTAACGAGCTTGCTTTCTCGGTGATTCCTCCCGAACAAAACTGCCCCGTCAGCGACACACGGTCCCCGAGCCCTCCGTCTTCGCCGCCCTGGCGTCGCCCCTTGTTGGCGACCGAGGCGCGTGCCATTGTGCCGGGGGCGCCGTCCTGGGCCGGGGTCCGCTGGCGGCGACCCGCACCCGTGCAGGTGGCGCGTGAGTTGCCGCCTCACTGCTGGCGGCGGCCGGGGCCTGGTTGCGTGGCGAGGAGCTTGTCCGCGAAACGGTGAGTAGGTAACAGCTGTCGCCTCGATAGACGTCTCGTTGTTTGTTGGGTCCGCCGGGGGACTGTTCTGATGACGGACCAGTTCGTGAAATTACTAGTGCCCCAAACGTGGTGGGCGCCGCAGAAAACCGTGTCATGAGTGCTTGCAGGGGAGAAACTTAAAGTAACTATTTCAACAAGAGCGTAGTCGACAGGTTTGAAAATATCAAGTAATGGGGGGTTAGTACATCGTGCTTTTGTCGGTAAGTAAAGGGCTGCGATCGCTGTTACACCACGTAGTTTGATCGGTTAAAAAGCATTCGCTCGTAACCGTACATATTAGATGAGTCAACTTTCTTTACTACGGCAAACCTTGTTTAACAAGTTTTTCACAACGGCTCAAAAAATACGTTATAGAAACGCAACTGCTTGGCGCTGGAACCATGGCTTAGAGGGATGAGTACCTTAGCTTTCTGAAAAACTACCATTGGCCCTGTGGGTGTTGCTTGAAAAAGATAACCAAAAATGGCTATCGTGCCCCTTCCCTCAGTCTGTGAACACGCGATTGGTGCTCACCCGAGAGTGAGGCGGGCTCTGACGCGTTGTTCGCCGAAGCTGCCAATCAGACAGGCAGGTACACATCCCATCTGACGCTGGGACCACGAGTGTTTGGCAGTGCACCAGGTACGACACTACGATATTGGTGAAGTTAGTAGTCACCACGTCCGTATCATCACGTGACCGACCGTGTCTCACGTGCCGTCTGGTTCCAGGCCAGAGCCGCGGCCCGAGGCGCAGCTCCCGACACGGTCCAAAGCGCACCGGCTTGCCTTCAGCCTGACTCTCAGCCCGCAGCGCAGCGGCTGCCGCCCACCCGCGGCCCCTCGCCGCGACCTGACAGTGGCGCCGGCACGGCCGTTGGAGCGCGTCTGCAGCACGCCCTCTGGCGGTGATGTCGTCCACGTGCGCCCGTTGCGGCGGCCCAGCCCAGCTGCGCTGCGCCGCCTGCTCGGTGCCCTACTACTGCACCCGACAGTGCCAGAGGGCTGACTGGCAACACCACCGCGCCGCGTGTCAGGCGCTGACGGTGCGTGAGGCGCCCGGCGTCGGTCGCTTCACGGTGGCAGCGCGCAACCTCGCTGCCGGCCAGCTGCTGCTGAACGAGGCGCCTCTGGCCTCGGGTCCGCAGCTCGAGGCGGAGCCGCAGTGCCTCAGCTGCGGCCGGCTGCTGGAGGCGCGCGCCGCCGCCTGCGCGCGCTGCCGCTGGCCAATGTGCGGCGAGAGCTGCGCCGCCAGCGCCGCGCACGCCGCCGAGTGCGCTGTGCTGGCGCGCGACGCCGGCGACCGACCGAAAGCCGGATCGAAGCCGTCGGCGCGCTACGACTGCATCCTGCCGCTGCGGCTGCTGCTCCTGCGCGACCAGCCGCGCATCTGGGATAAGCTGACGCGGCTAGAGACGCATGTGGAGCAGCGGCGCGACACTGCGATCTACCGCGACAACCAGTGCCACGTGGTGGACTACCTGCGCCAGCGGTGCGCCGTCGACGCCGACGAGGAGCTGCTGCACAGGCTCTGCGGCGTGCTCGACGTCAACGCCTTTTCGCTGCGGCCGAAGCCTGGCTTCGGACGGCGCCGCGGCCTGTTCGCACGCACCTCGCTGCTAAACCACTCATGCGTCTCCAACACACAGCTGAGCCTGGACGGCGAGGTGATGCAGGTGCGCGCTTCATTGCCGATCCTGAGCGGCAACGAGGTCACGGCCCGCCTACATCAGCGCATACGACCCGACCGCACGCCGCCATGACTTCCTCCGGAACGGCAAGTACTTCCAGTGCGGGTGCGAGCGCTGCCGCGACCCCAGCGAGCTGGAGACCCACTTCGGCAGCCACCGCTGCGGCAGCTGCCGCGAGCTGGTGATGTCCACGGACCCGCTGTCGCCGGACGCCGTCTGGCGCTGCTCCGGCTGCGGCCGCGAGCAGCCCGCCTCCGAGGTGCGCCAGCTGAACGCGCGCCTGCAGGCCGAGCGCCAGGGCCTGGCCGAGGGCAGCGTGCAGGATCTCGAAGATTTCATAGGGCGTCACGGCGAGTTCCCACTCCACCCCGGCAACTACCACGTCGTGGCAGTCAAGCAGATGCTCGCGCAGATGTACGGCAACGCGCCCGGTCACCAGCTGGAGCAGCTTTCGAACGGCCGGCTCGTCGCCAAGGAGAAGTTCTGCCGCCAGATGATCGCGCTGACGGTGGTCTTCGAGCCGGGCTTGTCGCGAATGCGCGGCCTCCTCCTGCTGCAGCTGCACCACGCCGTGGTGACGCTCGCGCAGCGCCGGTTCGCGGAGAGCAAGATATCACCTACCCGGCTGCTCGAGAGTCTCGAGGAGGGCGGCCGCTTCGTGGCGGAGGCGATCAGCCTGCTGCGCCACGAGCCCGCGTCGACGCCTGAGGGTGGAGCCATGATGCAGATGGCGCGCGACACGCTGCAGGGCTGCTTCGAGATGGCAGAACTGGTGCGCAGCTCCATCGGAAACTTTACGGCGGCGGAGTGAGGGGAGGACACTGCGGCAATGGCGGCATCAGCAGGACATGCGACGGCCGCTAGGCATAACGGGCAATCAATGCGCTAGCCCCCATCCTGATGCATGGTATCACTGGCGATCGTGATTGGTGCGCATGCACAGCCCTGGCCTGACTACCTTTGGTAACTTTTACGCAGATCACCGGTTCGGCGCATGCTCGTTTAATAAAGTTCTTGATGCGTCGACTAAGCGTATGCCATTGATGGGGATGAAACTACAACATGCGGTGGCATGTATGTCACTGATGGATTGCATGGCGGAGTCTTGGTTCAGAGGTGCGGTTTAACCCGCTCAATAAACGTGTCCTTTTGCTGCGAGGAGTTTTCTGGTTTGCGAGAGTAAGTTATACAGTTTTCTTAGATGTCAGAGGGCTCACAGCACTATCCGTTGCTAAGGTTGATATTGCTGAGGTTGTTTGTCCACATTCCTGGGCCATAGTCCACAGTACTGTAAATAATGGCATTGAATGCAGAACGAATGACGTTCTGATGATTGTTTCTTTGAATTCCTAACAACTGAACCAACCATACGAGGGCATCAATCTCCTTTTTAGGTGTAAACATTTGCCCGGATTTATTTAAGCGTGCTGGATAGATTCATACCTTCACCAATGCAATATCTGAGGTGACTTATTAAACACGCTAAATCACTCTTCCTTTTTTCATAAAATGGCATCAAAATATTTCACGACTATTGTATGCTGAAAATAGATGCTTGAAATAACCGTTTTGGTCTCTAACATCGGTACGGATAAATCCCAGGACCCAATGTCAGTCCGGATTTGCGGGTGACCTAACGTGATCCCATTCATCCTGACGTTACTGCGGTCGAAGTCTCGCATTTAGTGCCTTTGTGCTTTTACTGCACAGACAGCAATCCCAAGGATATAGGCAAGGTTGATGAAGGCTGTGAAGCTGAAAATGAGAATGACCGAAGAAAAAAAAGTTAAGAATCAAAAGGTAGAAAAAGTGTTTTCTCAAATGACCCTGGGAAAATGACGGCAGTTGACCTCCTCCCCCTCCCCCCAACAGCTGATCAAGTGTCAACAAAGCCGAACGGCCAAAACAAAGGCCGCGCGTCAACGCGGCAGAAACCGCCGGCTGTAGCTGGGATCTGCTGGAGGCGGCAGTGCGTACTTGGCAACGGGAGGGGTGGGTGCTGTGAGCGTGTCTAGCGGTGGGTGAGTACATATGTTTTTCTCTTGTACTTACAGCGGAGAGGGGCTGAGGGTTGAAGTGCCCTATTCAGAGTTAAAAGGTTTGCTGGATAGGTGTCCTATGCATTTGCTTTGCCGACCGTGCAGGTGTCTACACAAAAAGCCGTTCTGCGTGCCGAGGTAGCCTAGCATTATTTTTGGCGGGTCAGTTCTTAGCCAGCATGAAGAGGTCCACATGAATCAGAATGTGTCCATTACACGTGTAGTTTGGTCATGAACCATTGACATTTGACATTGACCATGTCAAGAGTCCTGATGCCTGTTGCTTTCACTCAGACGGTGTGTTTTTATTTACCTTCATGGCACATTCTAGATAAGCTTCACATGTATGAAATTGGTGTCTGGAAAAGCAGAATTAACTGTGACTACCTGATTGTACCATTCAAGTATGATGTGTACCTAGATGCAAAAATACCTTTTCTTCTTCTATTTGGTATATTTTTTCTGTACCATTCAAGTATGATGTGTAGCTAGATGCGAAGATGCCTTTTGTTCTTCTATTTGGTATGTTTTGTTCCGATTTTGGGTATTTTAATTGGGCATGCTCATGTTTGAAATGTTAGGTTCATGGATAATATCCCTCAAGAGTAAGATTAGTTATTTTACTGCTACTTGCCCCCTGGGAGAACACACCTAAATGTGCCACATGTGACATAAATACCAATTTTATGACATAGCATTAGCATCAGTGCATATAATGATGCATAGAACATAAGAGGCACTAGGTGAAGTTAACACTCACTCAAACCTTTCAGCATGCTGCAACATCAGTGATAAAATATGACCATATCTTGGTTGAAGTAAGGCCAAGAGCACCTATTATCTGCTAGCCTTGTCCTAAAATTACTCCACTGAGCATGTTTTCTTGAAAGAAACCTGAGTGGAATCAATGAATAAATAAAACATCCAGTCTTAATATTGATCTATTTTTTATCACACTGCTTTCAGACAAGATGAAGACACCATATCTCATTCTATGCATATTTTTTCTTTGCTTGTCATTTTCTCTTGCCTTGAAAGATGAGGGTGAAGAAGATGTGAAGGCTGGCTCCACAAGACATCCTGTTATTCTTGGTAGAATATGAGTGTGTGACCAAAAACTCATTAATTTGCATGTTATATCACTGCTGCCCATGACAGTTAATGCAGTGAAATATGCTCTCCACATGTGTTTCAGTAATTTTATGTTGACTTGTTTTATGTAGCTTTTATGTGATAATGCCTTCTCTATGTATCTGTTCTACTCCATAGTTTTGTTTGGTATATAACCTGATGGCTGTGATAAGATGGGTAACTGCAGAGAGAAACTATCCAACCCTTAGCTTTCTGTGCCTAGCCCTAGTGATATGTTCTGTTCTATGCTGAGCAGCCTTTTTAGGGATTATCAAATCAAACCCTCTGATATCCTATTGTTTCAGTTCCTGGTGATGGAGGCTCAAAGCTTATGGCCAAGCTTAACAAGTCAGCAGGACCCCACTACTGGTGCTATCAACACACCTCATCATACTACCTTCTGTGGCTTAATCTGGATGTGCTTGTCAGCAAGTTTATGGATTGCTTTGTAAGTAAATATTAACATGATATGGCCCTGAAACATTTGTTGGAACTGGGTGCAACTATTACAGGCTATCTGTTAAGATGCAGTATTACTTGTGGTACTAATCAGTGGCTCATGTGACATCTGTTTGGTGTGATGCCATTTTTCTATCATGTGCTGGTATTAGTTTAACCTCAGATAATCTTTCTGCAAATTCCCTGGTGTTATTTACTGGAAATTGCCACCTACATCTTGCAGTCATGTGGCAGCTGTGCCTCCACCAGTGGTTGAAAAATTAGGTGCTGGCCTAGGATCCTCTCAAAAGAAGTTCTACCAGATGTATTTCTATATATTGTACATGCATCACTGTATGGACTATGTCCTTCTCTAACCAATGATGGACAGTTCAAATGCCTTCTCCCTTCCGCCACCCCCCACCCCCACCGCCACCCCGCTCTGCACAATGCGTATGTCTTCCTTCATGTGCAGTCTCAGCAACGTCACCATTTGCGTGCTCAGATCGACAACATGCGCCTCCACTACAACCATACGGACCGGCGGACGTACAACACCCCAGGCGTGGATATAATGGTACCTGACTTTGGCACGACCAAAGCCATCGAGAACCTCAGCGACTGGAACTACTGGTTCGGCGGCTACACCAAGTACTTCTTCAACCTGGTTGACCTGCTAGTCAAGAATCTGAACTATACGCGGGGCCAGGACCTGTTCGGCGCCCCCTACGACTTCCGGAAGGCTCCGAGTGAGTGGGCGGGGAGAGGTGGACTGGGGGAGGCCCAAAGCCTGAGCATGCTGGGAGTGGCTCGGCACCGATGTCGGTGGGTGGGGGCGTTTACAAAAGTGTCCCTGTAAATCAGAAATATTTGATCGCACTTTGGTCAATTCAAAAGAGTTCTCAGTAACGCGAATGGAAGCTGGACGCGGTGTAATCTTGCTGCTGTCTCTCAAACATTCGCCCCGCGGCACTTGGGTTACCTCTTCCCTTACCCTCCTTTCTGACCCCTCCCCTCCCGGGCGGCGCTCCTGTGGCATGACGTCAGCACCATGTGACACGTCTGGACCGTGTTGCGCAAATCCTTGCTTATGTAACGGGCCGGGTGGCGCACGAGGCTCGGCCACTTGTCGCCGCCGTGGCTCGGCCGGCGGCGCAGTGTAGCTTCCGGTTCGTAGCAGTGTAGGTTCGTCCGTCTACCGACCATCGCCTCATATGATGTGCCAGCGCGGTTGCATGCGTCGACTCGGAACAGATGAACTGGCGGTCCTGAAGGTCGCGGGGTCTGCCCGTTCTGGTCAGCGGACCAAGCGTCGCTTATGTTTACAACGTGCGCAGGGGGCGTGCGCGCCTCACATTCTCGGGCCCGCGTATGGATGTTGGAGATGGTGTAAACACGCCGTAACGTCATGTGACGGTTATCTTCCCCATGAAGATACGGCACGTTTGGAAAGGCGTCTCCTTTAGGCCGACGACCACTTAATATGCTCCAATGAGCAAGCGCAATGCTGTACCCCAAATAGTAAAATCGGTAAGTACTGATTACAGGATCGCCACCAGAACTGTCTCTCACGAATCCTTGTCTTGGTGTCCTGTGTCAGCATCAAGATGGGGGGCGACCCCGTGCCACTCGACATGCCGTCCAGATGTGTCAGTGTCTAGTGTCCCTGGATGGGTGTCTCAGGGGGAGGGGCACCCGCGGTGCCACGCCCCCGGCTCCAGCCAATGGCGCCCTGCCGGCAGTCACGCCACCCGGCCTCGTCTGGGCCGCCAGCGGGATGTCAGCCGCTGTTTGCGACCGATGCGGTGACGTCACGAGTGCTAAATGTGACGGCGGCAGGTTGTTTGTATGGAGACTTGTTGGCCATCAAGAAACACATAGGCGCCGCTTCGGGAAGCCGGCTTTAGAGTACGAAAATATGCTGGATTTGGAATGTATAGTCCGGAGAAAGTCTGGAGAGGGTGAGGTGTGAGTGAGGCGGCGGGGACGCTGAATAGTCTGGAGATAATTAACTACACGTACATTTATCCTGGCTGTTAGTATGACGAATATTGGCACTTCCGGTGCAAACCGTAATGCTCCATCGCGACGATATCTGCTTTCTCAAAAGATCTCGTGCAGTGAATTCTGCGCCGATGTTGCGTTCCTTTGAGATAAGATGTAGACCACAATGTGTTTCTAAATTGCCCTGAAAGTTTTCTCTATTATTGCACCAGCTAGTTGCATACGAGGGTAGGAAGACGTTAGTTGTATTTAACATGTACGGTTGACAGGGCCTAGCGTTAGGAGCGTATAGGCTTCCGCCCCGTTGCCAAACTACTTTCTCTTAACGCCCAAAACCCGAACGGTGCGTGTGATGATCAGAGATGAGTTTAATGTATTTGGATCAAGGCCTCGGGATGTCTTGGGCTCAGTAAGTAACTACGGATTCCACCAGTCGCTATCTGAGATGTTCATGTTTCATGTGATCGGGGTATCAAGATATTCTGAGCCCGATTGGCGCTGTGCGGACCGAATTGCGCACTGACGTGGGCGCGCGCGCGTGACGGCAGCTGAGTCATCTCTCGAGTGGCGGCGTCACATTTCGCCGTGTCGTGGCGGTTGTCGCCGCGAGATCTCCCTTCCGGGCGAAACCGCTCCACGGGATAGTGGATACCCATCGGTGCTCCGTGAATCTGTCAGCGGGTGGTAAATCGGGCTGCTGCCCGGCTGCCGTGAGATTGGCTGGCTCTGGCAAACTGAGAAATTGGGGGATGTATAGGCTGCCTGCGGGGATGTTATTCTTGTTTAGGATGAGCTGCTGGTATTGACAGGCCAGCAAACGTGTATATTGATTGAATGCACTCACCCATGGTTGAGCTTAGTGGCGTTGCTCCACAGCCTGCGTTCGTGTTATTTTTGGAGTGAACACATTTAGTTGGGGCATTCCTGCTTTATGCTCTCGCATGGTTGGCATGGATTGACAAAATGCGTGATGAACACCTGAAGTCTAGATTGTTTGCGTGCACCTGCTTAACCCTTACCGGCTAGCTCCTCAACTGTCAAGGCGACTAGCGCAACCCGATCGACTTTTGACCAGGAGGCATGGCGAAATTTTTACTTAAGGTGGCAAATTGTTCTTATATTTTGTACAAAAATGAACCAATGTTGCGAATTCTTTCACACGAAATCATGTGTCAACCGCCTCACACGATCATTTTTCCGCAATCACCTACACACCCGCACAAAACCTTCACCTCACTCCACTTCAACGTCACTTCACCTTTCACCTTCACTTCATCTTCACTTCACTTCACTTCACCTCACCTCACTCACTCACCTCACCTCACCTCAGCCTCACCTCACCAGCCTCACCTCACCTCACCTCACCTCACCTCACCTCACACTCACCTCACCTCACCTCACCAGCCTCACCTCACCTCACCTCACCTCACCTCACCTGGCCTCCGTCTCTCACCACCCGCAGACGAGATGGACGTCTTCTTCTCGAACTTGACGCGGCTGCGGAGCAGGCGTACTACGCCAACAACAACACGCGCGTGGTGCTGGTGTCGCACAGCTACGGCTGCGTGCTCACCCTGCACTGGCTGCACCGGCGGACGGAAGCCTGGAAGGCCAAGTTCATCGAGCACTTCGTGTCGCTGGCCGGGCCGTACGCCGGCACGGCGCTCTCGTACGAGGGTGTACGCCGCAGGTACGCTGGAGAGGGGGGGGGGGGGGGAGCGCGGTCGCGACAAGGAGCTGTGCTGTGAGCGCGAGGAAGCTCGAGTCTAGGGGAGTTCAGGTCTAGGCCATCACGCGTACGTCAGGGAATGCTCTCTTATGACGTTTTATGGCCTATGACCGGCGGAGCATTGTGGACGCTCCATTTTGGTTTTTTGAATCGTGCCATGTGTCCAACCGTATCGTATTTACTTAAAACGGTATATGCGTGGTGAATTGCCTAAAGTGCCCGAAAGAGTCATTGTGCGTTCGAAACTGTGCGTCACGTTTTTCTGGCAATGTGTGCAATGGTAGAGCCCTACGCAATCCAGACATTTGTGCTTCTTCGGTCCTCCTGTGCCCTCTTGAAGTTGCACATGCCAGACCGTAAATGCAGCTTGTATTTACGAAAGGCACCTCGGTCACCGGTGTGTCCTAAAGCTCCACTCGTCGCAACACGAAATGCGTGAAGAAAAAAAAACAGAACGGGCTCAGGGGTCTTCCCAAGCATTGATATTTTTTTAAAAAATTTTGTCCGCGACCTCACTGGACCATTTGTGTAAAGGATCACATCGTGTCGCTACGTGGAAGACGCCGCTTATCATTTTTGCTACGTTCGCAACGCGGGAACGACCGCCTACGAAGCGTGTTGACGTTAGCGATAGCCAAGGCTGACGATCCACGAGATAACCCCAGAGCTGTTATCTGCTCCGCGCGACGCAGCGGGCGGTTACGGGCAGATCTCGGTGGACCCTGCCTTGGGACCCGCGCGGGGAGTCCCCCGGTACATGTGAACAGCAGGGGAGCGGGTGGGGTAGGGTTTTTTCTGTGTAAGTGGACCCTGCCGTCGGACCCGTGCGTGGAGTCATCTGATAGACGTGAACAGCAGGGGTCAGGGACTCGCCTACGTGGTGTTATGGTCGACGAACCGACATCCGGTTTGTTGGAAGGAGATCCGGTGCTCGCCGCCCGTGGTGCTCGCGGCGCGTTCCAAGCGTGTCTGGGTGGGACGGTCTGTCCATCGGCTCTGTCCAACGGGGGAGGGATGACCCGACCCACTGTCTCAC